TTCCTTCGACTGTCTTGCTAAAAAGTGTATGTCCATTTATTTTTCACCTCGCCAATACTATGTCCTGTTTTGTCTTACTGACCAACGCTAATCCTTCTTCCTCTTAAAGAGAAGGAAGAAGAGTATTTTTTTCAGGGGAGAAGAAAGCATTTTATGACTACTAAAATAAGTAAAAAAAACAGCATTTCCTGCACTTGTTAATGACATTCTGATAACTAGTTTTGCAACCTTTGGTTTTTAAATTGAATTTTATTTAATTGTTCATTATTTCCTAACTTAGAGCATACCTGGTTTTTGTGCTGTAGGGGACAAGCAGCCGTTGCCATGGGAAATGCGTGTAAGAGTTGCATACCATGTAGCCCAGGCACTAGATCATTGTAGCATGGAAAATCGCAAATATATCATGATTTGAATGCATACAGGATTCTTTTCGATGAGGTAAGCTTTGAGACATAGTTGTTTGTTTGGTATGTTTATTTATTCTTGCTGTCTTTGTCATGAGACATTGTTTGCATTGATGGATCTTTGTCGTTTAGTTATATCTATGCTGTAAGCATAAGTTTGCACTCTGCTAATGTTATAAAAGCTTTCAGTATCATTCAGCAGACAATATCTAAGCTATTCCTTTGAAGCAAACTTGTTTTTGGTTCAATGAGGCAAACTTGATGCTGATTGATCTACTTCTTGTCAGGAAGGCGACCCCCGATTGTCTAGTTTCGGGCTTATGAAAAATAGTCGAGATGGGAAAAGCTACAGTACCAACTTAGCATATACTCCACCTGAGTTTTTGCGGACAGGTATTGAGCATGTATCTTTCCGGACAACCTACATTGATCGAAGCTATAATTTTATGCTTCCCATGGAATTTCCAGCTGCAACTTTAGACGTGAATTATGTACATGGGCGAATGATCTGTCATTCTTTTAATTGAACATCTCTAATGTCACTAAACACAAGCTTTTGCTGTGGAAGGATTTCTTAATTGAATTTCTTGCTTGGTCTGTGGCTCTCTAGCTTTTAGAACTCAATATTCCATTAATGATCAGAAGATCTTGAACGTCATTTTGCTTGAGATTTTTGTGTTGTGCTTACTAAACGTTATTTATGGGAATATAGTAGTACTTGTTACTTAACAAATACACTGAGGGATGGTTGACGAGTTATGAGGTTTTCTGTCCAGTGATTCTGATTACTTACAACCCTTGCAGGCAGGATTATTCCAGAGAGTGTAATCTACAGTTATGGAACAGTTCTTTTGGATCTTTTGAGCGGCAAGCATATTCCTCCAAGCCATGTATGTTACCATCCCTTCCAACCCTTCTTGTCGCTAATATTTACCAAATATCTTTTGCATTTGTAAAACAAACTGAGTCAGAAACTCTATCCCCTGTCTTTTGGCCATAAAGGGTGTGCATAATGCTTTATTTGATGCAACTTTTAGCTGAAAATACGCATGGTAGAAGTTGATCATCACTTCTAGATCGCCTCTTTTACTACTGCATTTGAAGATGGTTTCTTGTTTACATTCCAATAGCCTCAAAAAACTGTATTATTGAATTTGTTATCATCTTCAATCTATTGGCAATGGAGATCCCTATTCATGCTGCACAATTAATCATATGATGTATGCTGAACCCAAGGGTATGAAAATTGCTAAGAAGATTGATTTTCTCCTTCAGGCTCTTGATCTGATTAGAGGTAAAAATGCCTTGTTGCTGATGGACTCGTCGCTAGAAGGGCAATACGCAAATGATGATGCTACAAAGTTGGTTGAGCTTGCTTCAAAATGTCTTCAGTTTGAGGCTAGAGAACGCCCAGATATTAAGTTTCTTCTTACAGCAGTTGCACCTCTTCAAAAGCAGAAAGAGGTTTGTTTTTTTACTGTGCCCCTAAATTTTAAGCTTAGTCTCCATTCCAGTTCAACTTCATTTTCTAATTCTCCCATCACAATTCAAGTCTTTTATTCCTTCTGTTGATTTTCTCCACTTTCTTCCAGGTAGCATCTCATGTGTTGATGGGCCTAACTAAAAACACAGCGGTGCTACCAACCATGCTGTCACCCCTAGGAAAGGCTTGTGCAAGGATGGATCTCACAGCTGTGCATGATATATTGCTAAAAACAGGTTATAAGATGAAGAAGGTGCTGAGAATGAGGTCTGTCAAATCATCAATGTTTTGCCTTCAAATTTGAGATTATGTTTGGTGGACTCTTGTGTTCAAATCAATAAGCTTGGGTGATCACATGTTCATTACAGAGAAAGCGGTATACTAATTGGATATGTGAATATGCAAATAAACAAAGTTGGTTCATTTAGTTGATGATGCATGTATCTTATTTACATTATCATTTGGGACTTATTCCTTCTCATCCGCGCAATCATTTATCATTGCATTCTACTGGTGGTTACCAATATTTTGCATGGATGCCTCGGCAAAATATCTGCCTGTAGTGAGCAGCACATGGGACCCCATATATCGATCTACTTATCGAGGTCCTTGGTTTTATTTTAATCGTTTGTTTACTCTTTTACTGTTTTGTGTTTTCATATAACATAGGTAGTATTCATTTTACCTCATCACGCTAGTGTTATTGAGTGGCATGAATGCGCATGTAAAATAGGAATGTTTAATTGTATCTGAGACCCAAGATTAAACAGTGTAAACCTCGCTTGTTAATTTCTGGCTATTATGCCAACTTGTTTTTGTGCTTGTTCTTATCTACTTTCTGAGTGTAACCTTGCAGCTTTCGTTCCAAGAATGGACACAACAAGTGCAAGAGATCCTGAACACGAAAAAATTTGGGGACATTGCATTCAGAGACAAGGATTTCAAGAACGCAATTGAGTATTATTCTAAGGTAAAGCACCCCCCCCCCCAAAAAAAAAAGAAAAGAAAAGAAAAGGGAGGGAAAGAAAGACTCTTTTCCTTCATTTTCATGGGTTAGTTGCCCTGCTTAAAGATCATATCTTTCAACATCTCATACCATAACATTTTGAGCATTGAAGAGGAATAAATCAAAGTAAAGTACTGGATGATTGATGATTAAGATTATAAAATGCAAAGGTGAACATGGTCTGAAAGTGGAAGACATATTTGTTGTGAACAGTTGGTGGTGATGATGTCGGTTCCTTCGGCTACTGTATTTGCAAGAAGAGCGTTCTCATACTTGATGAACGAGCAGGCAGAACTGGCGTTACGGGATGCAATGCAGGCACAGGTGTGCATTCCTGATTGGCCAACAGCATTCTACCTGCAGGCCCTTGCTCTCTCCAAGCTGGGAATGGAGACTGATGCTCAGGATATGCTCAATGATGGAGCTGCCTTTGAAGCCAAGCGGTCTAACAGTTGGCGTGGTTAACTTGTGCTTATTTTGCTAATTAGTAAGGCGCTAGTTTAGGAAGTTAGTGACCAGTTCAGGTGTCATTGTGCAATATCAAGTATAGATTCTCCCTTTTACAGATGAGTCCTGTAGATTGAATTTTCCTCAGATCAAATAAGTTGATCTTCCGCTCACTTTCACTACTGCTGCCTCCTAATTCCTTTTATCTTCTCAGGTTTTTTTTAGTGAATTAGAAGGGTAGGTTTTAACGGTCTGAGATTATAATTAAGATCGAGCTGGCGACCTTCATTTACAGAGTCTTCACACTGTTAGGTTATATTAAAATATTTTGAAACAACTTAGTTACTTGTCTTTCAAATTCAAATAATTTTAAAAGCATGTTAGATATCCTTTGATAAAGTTTGTTACAATTGACTTAATTATTTAGTTTTTTCATCTTTACATTATATAAATACGGTGATAAATTATTGACCTTTTTTTTTTCAAAAAAGTTATATTAAACTGTTTATTTGAAAAATGTGCGGTCCAATTTAAAATTTGACAATGATAATATTGTTAGATTTATAATTCCTGAAATATTGTTAAATAGTGAATTAATATTTATTTGTAGCCTTTTTTAGAGTGAACAGTATATTCATAATAAAGCATAAATAGATTAATTTTGTAGGTGTTGTATAGAGGGTTTTTTTTTAAGGTTAAAATTACTGTTTCTTGAGATGGACTCTGATAAATTTGCATTTTATTATAGAATTATTAATCATTTGGTTAGGCGTTGGGCAGAAATTTTATTATTCCTGCAAAATTAAAAAGCTATGGGGAAAACAATCTCCTCCTTTTGAGGGCACATGATACTCTTTTCCAACGCCACAAAAAAGTTTTCCCCGCGAACACCAACTATGATGAACAATTGAACATGGACAAAAAATAATATTTGTTTTAAACAGATAATTTTTATTTTTTTTTTGAATTTTTGATGAAGGTGTAATTTTACTCCGAACTTATTTCTCTTATGCAATTTCATCCTTAACCTTTTTCATGGTACAATTTTATCCATAATAAATAAGGAGTAAAATTATCTAAAAATATTATGAGTAAAATTATATCATTAAAAAACCAGGGATTTCCGAGATAAAATCACAAGTAAAATTCAACCTCTAGGCTTAAAATTTACTATTCCTTTCTTATAATTCTATTACATGCATTTAATATTTTGTGTATTGATATGTTGACTTGTCGATACAACCAAATAATGAGACCACGTCAATTTTAAAAGCAACTCCTTGTGATCTGCTAGGGTCCAAAACATACCTAAGAAAGACCCAAAATTACCAACTCCCCGGACATCGCCATAAATTATAAATTAATATGAAATATTCTTAAAATCTTTGTAAGTTTTTAATTCTTTCACTCATTTTTTCAATGTAATTTTTTATTATTTTTAATATATGTTAACATGATTTAAATATTAAAAAAATATTAAAATTTAGATATACTAATCTAATTTTAATTATTATTTTTTTTAAAAAGGTGGGGGCCGACAAAAGCCCAAAGTGGAGGCCGTTATTTTCAGAAAATTCTGGAGGCGTGAGCAAGTTGCCAACTTTTCCCAAAGTGTCGTGGCAAGACCGTAGTTTTCTTGAAAAGCTCGAACAATTAGGTCACTTGAGCAGAGGGCCAGGGAGAGGAAGTTAGACGCATTCCTAAATTTCGAAGGCAAGATCCTAAAGGTATGATCTCTAGTTTTCCCTGATTTTTCCTCCAGAGAGAAATCTCTCCTTGCGGGTTTATGCATCTGACTCTCTGTCTGTTCGCTTTCTGCTTGCTTTGCATCTGGGAACGATATTACGAGCATTAGAGGAACGAGATCCATGTTTGGTCTTTGATTTAATGTCAAATTAAAATGTTTAACCTTTCTCCGGTGATTATTTCGGATGGAGTCTGTTTCAAACAAATCGAAACATAGGGTTTATTTGATTCCTGGTCGGGGAAGTGCAAAATCAATTGAAATACCGTGTTTCCGATAGCTACGTAAACTGTTGCGAACCCGTCAAATCAAACCAAACCATCCCGCTTGGTTGGATTTTGTTGCGCTTGAATGGATTTTGGCCTGAAGGATTGGGTTCGCAGAATTCAATCAACCTGATCATACGACCTGGGCCGATAGAAATATATAACATCAAGGAAGAAGGTTAGGAAAAAAAGAAGAAACTAGCGAAACAAATTGAACTGTTCATAGATATGCTTTTAATCTTTGGGTTGGTTTTATTTGGGATTTTTTTGGTTAAATATTTATATATCGATTTTCAAGTGCATGATGAGAAATTATAGTCTTCAATGGTGTCTCTCTTAATCCTCCTCATTGCTTCCCATCCTTCTCATTCTATTTGTTGTTTGTTAACTAACTAAAAGCCAGCTTGTTTCTCACATTAACCTGGACTCTGGGCTGGTAGAGCAGATTTTGCACCCCTCTTTCTGACCCCGGCGGAATGCGAAGCAAGGTGGGGAAAGTGGGATGGGTTTATGACGGGTTTCAAGCATGATGAATCATGAATAACTGTTAAGTTGGAAAGATAGATTAAAAGGAATATATATATATATTTGCATATAAGATTTGGGATCTCCTTCGCAATGATTAATTTGATTACCAGTGCGAATTCTTGTTGGGTTCTCTTTCACCGATTGAGTAAATAGTAATCCTGCAGCTGGTACTTCTAAAATGTTACATTTTGGCCTGGTTTCAGACGTATTCAAATATTCATGATTTATTATTCTTCGGCACTGCTCATCCTCATGTCGACTAAGATGACTTTTTGAACGACGCATTAGGAGTCGTGTTTTCATCTAATTGGTGTATGAGTGATTGTTATGCACAGTGGACAAATTCCGTAAACTGGGTTTCTGCAGAAGCCAAGAGCAGACTTGAAATTGATATTAATACTGATACGAATACGAATACGAATATGATAGCATTAATTTGAAGGGGGGAAGTGAGGCACACGTTGAATCTGAAATTTTGAGATTTGAATTTTAGGAAGAAGAGAGAAGTTATATGGATAACAAGTCACCGAGCAAGAAGGCCACTAAGGAGATTGCACGTGAGTTGCTCATTGCCATCTCAAACTCTTTACCTGATAAGATTGTGGAATCAAATTGTGGGTCTGAAGTTAAGAAAGCCGATGGGGTTGCAGTGGCAAACGGTGATGGGGACGACAAGTTTCGATCTGAACTGATTTCAATCTCGTACGCAGATTCTCCTGATATCAAAACCTGATCAATTCCTATGGGAGCCTGAGTCCCAAATGTGCTCGTTTACGTTTAATGTGTAACTCTACGTTTGGTGTATGATTGCATTTTCAGCGTGTTTATTTTATGGGGTATGTTGGTTCTGTTGTACTAGCTATCGTTAATCTCGTTGTAAATACTTTGCCCAAGCCATGCTTTGGTTCATGTATGATATAATGAGTTTAATAATTGACTCCTCTCGCTCTCATGATCCTGGTTTACGCCACAATCAGAAGGAGGCCTGGGGCAAATACAAATTTAAAATGCGTTCTAAATTTATTCTTGTATTAATGCCATCGTCCTCATATATTTGTTCTTGTTTTTTCCCCTGGCGGCCAATGGATTTTTATGTCGTCTTGACCCTCGTGCGTTTAGTTGCTGGTTGTCAATGTTTGTTGCTGTGGTGTTAAGTTGGAGTACATTATGTTAATATTCCTTTAATGTCGATTAAATTATAATGGTGTATTTATCTTATAAATGAAAAAATTAAAAAAAAATCTCAAGAGCATTCGAATGAATAGATTAAAACAATAAATGTTAATCGTCAAGGAATGTGACAATAGTTGAGTGGTTTTTTTTCTTTTAATACAGACTGGATACTAAGAACCTTAAAAAAGGCCCAGGCTATAAAGGAAAAGAAACTAAAAAGAAAAACATAACTAACACCCCTCATCAACTTCTACCTAAAGCTTAAATAAGTCAAGGGTGATCAAGGACACAAAATATGTTGTCACTATTATGAGCAAATTTTGTTAAATAATCAGCATAAGAATTATCCTCTCTGTAAACATGTTGAAAAACTATTTGCCAATCCCCATGCAAATGAAACCTAATGTCCACAATGATATCCTTGAAAGGGTGGAGCTCATTACATCCTCGAGTTATTAGGTTAATAGCTTCTAAACAATCAAAGTATAAAGTTATTTTCTTATAACCCTTTCCCCAACAAAGATTGAGACTATAAAAAATTCCAATCACTTCAACTATGGTAGAGGGCACATTTATCAATTTGCAGCTAAAGCCACATATGACTAGTTTGTACAGTCTCTAATCACTCCTCCACATCTACTTCTTCCATCTTCAAGAACTAATCGATCGACTTCAAGCTTGACCATTCCTTCTTCTAAATTGCTTCCCCATGACCTATGCAAAGGTGTGCATTGGTAGAAGGGGTGATTTTGTTTTAAATCCTAATCCAAACAAGCTCTGAAAAAGCTTGCACTTGCATTCTGATAAGCTTCTCTACCTGAGGTGTTAAACAGTCTATTACATTTGTCCACCCAAATATCCCAACAAATATACCCAAAAAGCGTTAGCCAAGGGATCTTTTTGGTATGATTTAAGCCTACTTCATAAGTAAGGTTCCATCTTATCCAGTCTGCTCCTTGAAGAAAGAAAAAAGTGTTCCACATAGAAGGCTTGACCACAAACTGCCATCTCTTCCTAGCATCTTGACAATCTCGTAGTAAATGCATTGAGTCTTCTTCCTAACTACATCTAAACAGGCAAGTTGCTTCATCTGCAAGACCTTTATTCCTCCTAAGTTGAGCCGTATAGGCTTTGTCATGAGTAAAGAGCCCTATGAAAGATTTAATCTTCTCTGCTATTGATCATCTTCATATAAGTTTCCATATGTTGTCCATGTACTAGGTTGTACCTGCAAAAAGAAAATTGTGTGCAGATTTTATAGAAAAATAGCCATCAGTGGATGGCTTCCAATAAAATTTGTCCTCTCCTCTCTCCTGACGAGGTGGATGTGCACAAATAATCCGATCAACAATAACCGTTGTTTACTACATAGTCTGCCACACACTCATCTTTGTCAACTAGTCCTTCCTAACCAGGCACAAGATCAATTAAAGGTATATTTAAATTAGACTAGTTCTCGCACCAAAAAGAAGTCAAGAATCCATTGCCAATTTTTTTACCTAAACCTTTCTTCAAAATTTGACCAAACCTCACACATGCTCCTCCAGATGAGGGATGAATTGCATGGTTTATGCACTTACGGCATACCCTGCCTCCCACATTTATATTTAGCCTTGAGTACTTTTACCCATAATGCCTCTTGGTTGCCAGAGAGATGCCAACAAAGTTTCATTATAAATGCTTTATTCTGTTTCCTCAAGTCCCTTGAGCCAAGGCCACCCTCTTTCTTCTCTTTTATGATTTGCTCCGAGGCTAAGAGATGTAATTTTTTCTCTCCCTCATTTTCCCCTGGGAGAAAGCTTCTATTTTTTTGTTCCAACTGACTCAGAATCCACTTAGGGAGAAGCATCGTCTATATATAGTAGGAAGGTATAGCTGCCAGGACAGCTTTAATCAAGATAGCTCTACCTGCCATGTTTAGGCAGTTTCTTTTCCATCCTGCAAGTCTTACACCAAACTCAACTGGGAACAAAAAATAGTCGCATGGTTACGACGAATTTGATTTTGTCATGAAGCACATTACACCAAACTCAACTGGGAAATATGTAACTGAAAAATCATTCACGTGTACACAATTTAGTTTCAGCGAATTTAAATTAGTGTCCATTATTTTGAAAATTCACTGTTTGGGTGTCTCAATGAGGCGGTATCCATGTTATTTTACACTTATCTCTTTCTCTTCTTTTCTTATTATTTCATATTAAACTTTCAATTAAAAGAATCATAATTCTTTTTACATACCAAACATATTTTTAAGCTCAGAGATCATCTTTCTGTGGAATCTACCGTTCTCTCCATTTCTTTCCCTTTCTACCAAACATGCTTGAAGCTTAGATTGCATACGTGTTTAATTTGACATAACATGGAATACCTAATTCCATATATTCTTTACTGGTATTTTGTACGCGTTTAATTTGACAGCTGGCTGTTTAATTGGCAAAACGTAATTAGCCTGCCGATTGAAAAGCAAACAAACTTATGGCGAGGGATATGCAATCAAATTCAATTGCGTTCAAAGTTAACTATATTTGCCAAGTTTTAATAATCTCACCATTTAATTTGATTGTTGTTAGGTGGCATATACTATCATAATAAGTCGATTCCTTGTTCGAAGCAACTTGAGTCGGGTGGGAAACAAAACATGAGAAACTTCTTGGGGGCGGTGACAAGTTATATAAGCACCATCTGTTATGAAAAATAAGTCAATGCCAATATTACTCCTTCCCCGAGTAAATATCTATTTTCTCAATAATAAGCAAAAGAAGGTAATTTAGTTAGAAACCTTAAATATGACAGTACCCTTAACAGAAATGTCTCTCTTCTAATACTAGTTAGAATATTAATTAGTGGGTAGAGTTAACTAGTTATTTCGCACTCACTCAATTCAAGACTCTGGTATGTATAAAGAGCCGTTCACTTCATGCCCAAGAAAGTATAACCTGATTCTCTCTCCTAACTGCATCAAAAAAAAAAAAAAGCTCATTGTTTCAATTGTATTCGTAGATAATAAGATTCATTATTCTTCATGAAAAGAAACAGGGAATACTATATTATGTTAATTAATTCTTCGGTCCACTTAGGTTGGTGAGTATAGATAATACATGCATGCGTGTTATATTATGACTTGAGGGAGAGTTATATAGTTATTCAAATATATGTAATATTAATATATAATCCTTGTTTTTCTAATTTCACATTGGCAAGTTTGATTTGATTTGCTGGGTAGCCAATGCTAGCTTGACTCGTTCTTCTCTTCATAGCCTTTAGTTTCGAACGAATCAAAGTAAAAAAGTGGCCAAGGAAGAATCCACTGCTGGGGTTGGAGGCCATCTTTTTTTACTTTTTAGGGGGGATGTGAGATTTGGCACGCCCTTTGACCTCCCATTCCAAGTCAAATTAGCTTGCGTATATTATACCTTACAAGAAAACACACTTCAATATTGTTTCTTTCATTATCATTAATTGAATAAGCCGCACCAAAAGTCGTGTCGTAAATCACTAAATTAGAATACATTAACCTTTTTTTTTTATATGCGCCGTTAACTAGACTACTGTCTACTAACGGGTAACAGGTTCAATTATGTAATTAATTTAATCAAATTTCTTTTTACTGATCATTTTAACAAAATAAGAGTACTTTTTTTTAATAAGTCGTCATCTTAAAATAATCATTTAAATTAAATGAAATTTAAAGCACGCAAACCAAATGTGAAGGGATTCTAACGAGTCATGTATGGACGCCCTCACAAGCAAACTAGAATACCAAATCCGCATCCGTGAAAAGCAATAATTAAGCAGAAACAATCCGAAATTCTGCACTGCAAAAACCAAACCCATTGAAAAAAAACACATAAATCCCAGCATTGAAGTTGAACACGTCGGCGATGGAGAAGAACGTGTCCAAATCGAGAACGGACGGCTGCCGTGAAAAACCACGTGGAAGCATAGAGTCCGTGGATGAGATAAACGGCCAGGATCCATCCCATGTCCACGGCTCTCCCAGATGCATGAGAAGGAAACAAGATGGCGCCGACTCGTGTGGGGTGAGTACATTAATGCGACGACATGCAGCTGCGAGAGAGTTCAAGTGTTGAAGTATATAAAAGGACGAGAGAGACGAAGAAACAAACTCGTCAGGGGGGGGGGGGGAGAGAGCTGAGATTATCAATGGAGATATTTGATGCGGTGATCGTAGGAGCGGCTCTCATACTGGGCGGATATGCATTTGTGTTTGGGTTTCTGAGAAGACTCAACGATTGGTACTATGCCGGAAGACATGGCCTTCATCTTCCACCTGGTGATATGGGTTGGCCTTTCCTCGGAGCCATGCCTGCCTTCCTCTCCTCCTTCAAATCTCATCCTGATTCCTTCCTGTCTCAACTCATTTCCAGGTCCCTTTCTTCTTCTTTCCTTCCTTCCTTCTCTCTTCTTTCTGATTCCATCATTTCATTTGGTCTACGGTTTCGTTTCCGTTTCAGGCACGGCAGGACTGGCATGTACAGGACTTACCTCTTCGGAAGCCCCAGCATCATTGTCTGCAGTCCGGACACTTGCCGCAAAGTCCTCACTGATGAACAACATTTCAAACTGGGATATCCGACCTCAACCATCACCCTCGCCGGAAAGAGATCTCTGCACGGCATTTCCAACGCCGAACACAAGCGCATCCGCCGCCTCACCACCTCTCCCATTACCGGCCACGAGGCCTTGTCTTCTTATGTTGCCCTCATCGACCATATTGCGGTTCGGTTGCTGGATGAATGGAGCAGCGTCAATGCGCCGATCGAGTTGTTGTCCGAATTGAGGAAGTTTGCTTTTGCTGTCATCACTAAAATCTTCGTCGGCTCCGACGTTGACTACATCGACCTTGGCCTGTTCGAAAACTTGTACGCTGACCTCAATCGCGGAATGAAGTCCCTCGCCATCAATCTTCCCGGCTTTGCTTTCCATAAGGCCCTCAAGGTTAATGGCCCTACATATCGCTACTGTCTTCTTTAAGTTTCTTGTTTTTAATTGAAATCTTATAATCCACTGCCAACGGCGGGGCCTGCACAGCCGGAGATGACAGAGGGGCGTCATTGCCACCCGCCGTCTCCCCAGACCGCCGCTTATAAATCATACAATGTTTTATCAGCTTACGTCGTTTCGTTGACAAGCATGTCACCTAGCTAGGGAAAACAGATAGCGAGTCATTATTATGGGATGAGTCGCTATCTTAATTAGTCTCTCGTAGCTAGACTCAATTGCGTCACAAGTTCAATTGATACAGATTAAAACCAACATTAAAGAAACATGTTTTGTACTAAAACGAAAACGTCAGGCAAGAGAGAAGTTGACGAAGGTGCTGCAAAGTTTGCTGGAGCGGAAGAGAAAGAGCATAAAGGAAAGGACGAAGAAAGACATGATGGATATGTTGATGGAGGCGAAGGATGAAGATGGATGGCAACTGGAAGACGAAGACATAACAGACCTACTTCTCGTATTCTTGTTGGCTGGTCACGAAAGTTCGGCTCACGCCATAATGTGGACCCTCATCTACCTCACTCAACACCCTGACTCCTTCGAAAAGGCCAAGGTTTGACTACTATTTCATCATCGTCCTCATGTGAATTATCTCCTGTCCATTATCAGAATATTCACTTAATTCGTTGTCTTTCTTAATTTATTCATAATATATATACACACACATGTGCATGTAGAGAGAGCAAGAAGAGATCACGGGGCAAAGACCTTCCTCGCAGAAGGGGCTGAGTCTTAAGGAACTCAAGCAGATGGAATATCTTTCAAAGGTATAATTAAGTACGTAGATTTAGATTTATATATTTAGATGTTCAGTGTTAGTGTTATTATTTTATGTCCCATTGGAATGTATTTTAAGGATTTCCCTGCTTGAGCTGTGTAGTGTGAGTTGTGCGAGAATCCATGCCTGTGAATCATAATCTGCGTCATCCATTGAAAAAACAGAGAAATCCAACAACAACGAGTTGCACGAAGAATCTTAACCTCCTCCTCCTCCTTTTTTATTTGTTTAGGTTATTGACGAGATGCTGCGCAGAACGACTATCTCATTCGCAAACTTCAGACAGGCAAAAATCGATGTCAATATCAACGGTTGGTTAATTCTATATATCCTAAACTGGATGCTTTCGAACTTCTACATGATGTTCCCCGGCTTACTAATTAATTTATCCATATTACGATCTTTTTTTGCCTTAAAAAATGTAGGTTACACCATACCCAAAGGATGGAAAGTTCTGGTTTGGTATAGAGGTATTCACATGGATCCGGAGAATTACGTCAACCCAGAGGAATTCGATCCTTCCAGATGGGATGTACGTGAACCATTTGTGTTAATTAATTGTGGTATTTTGGGATACTATCATTTAGTGGTAAATTTACTGATAAACGAGAAAAAATACAAAATATATGTGCAGAATTTCAAAGGCAAAGCAGGGTCTTTCATTCCCTTTGGATTAGGAAGCAGGCACTGTCCTGGAAGTGACCTGGCCAAGCTTGAGATCGCCATTTTCGTTCACCATTTTCTTCTCAATTACAGGTTCCCTACCAAACTAGTACTCCTTCTTACAATTACTGCTACTACTTAACTTTTGCAGCAAGACGAATTGCCAAGGAAATTAAAGGGGAAAATTTTAATTTGCTTATTAATAACTTTTTGTTTTTTTGGTTGAAATTATGATTATGGTGCAGGTTGGAGAGAATTAATGAAGAATGTCCTCTGGTCTACTTGCCAATACCCAGACCTTCAGACAACTGTCTTGCCCGAATCGTAAAAGTTGAATAGCTATAGTGTTGGTTGAAATATGCATCTGAAAATGAGGATTACCTGTTGCTTAAAATATAAAAAATAATAATAAATTTTGCTTCCTCCAAAATTGTTTTATTTCTTAATATTTAAATATTAGGTTTTTGTTTTAGTGCCTTATGGACAGGTTTACCGCTGTCTTTGGTGTTTTTTAATTGCGGCTGATGAGTTTTATAGTAGCTATTGAAAGGGTCCAGTTTCAAATTTTTGTCTCTCTAAATCAAGTTTCTTTTAAAAAAATGAAATCAAATCTGCGGAACCAACAATTAATGAAGCTGCTGAGCTGGAGCGAGAAACACGAGCTGATATGAACAGGAGCATACACCTGGCATCTATGGCCTATTTGCCCTCTTAAATACTCCATCTGAGTTGAGAATTTAATACTATGTTGATGGGGGAAGAACCCACAGTCTTTTGTTCATAATGCTGCCACATGATTCGTTCTTGTTCTTAATTTGTTCAGGTCTACAGAGACTAGTATTCTATTTTGGTACTCAAATCAGTTTCTTTTTTCCGTGTAAGTTAACGGCAAATCTCCAAATTGCTTAGCTAAGAGTCAAATAATTATACTTTTGTAACAAGTCATGAATAAAACATTGACTTCTCTTAATTTCTGGACCTACCTTGACCGATGCAAATGAAAGATCACGGGTCAGAATATTTTCACTTTTATACTGGAAGAAGTGCTCTTATTAAGTGCTCTACAATGTCTTAAATAAGTTTGCTTGTGGATACTTAGGCCTAGAAAGAAGCAGCAGCAAGAGCGTAGCGTGTGTGTGTGTGAAAGTGCTTCCTCCGGCAGTCCGGGGAAAGGATGGGGATGTGGGTAAAACCAAAAAGGAAGAAGAAGGAGAAGGAGAAGAATCTGGATTTGTTGGGCCAAGTAACTTGGTGACTTGGGCTCTTTGGTAGCATAGTCAGTTTTTAGGCCTAAGCACGTGGCTTGTAGTTCTGTTTATGGACAACAATACGCGTCCTGGAACGAAAGGAAAGGCCCATTATCTGTGGCAAATACCCGTATAGCCCTCATGCTTGGGCTGGCTTTTCAATTGGAATTGAACGGCGAGGAAGGCGAATTTTATAGCTCGATGCTTCCCTTGAGGTTTCTGGGTAAATTTAAATCCCACAACATGAGAGAAACGTCAACATTAAGTACGGTGCCTTCAATAAGATTGTCTCTGTAGGGAAATGCTTGTGCCTAAAAAGAGGGGGGAAAAAAGAAGAATGGCTTCAAACTCCTATGTTTGTACTTTAATTTGCCTGTGATGCAGGACTCTGTAAATTTATGTCGGTGGAAAGGCCTCGCCTCGTACGTGACGAGTTCGAGGAAGTGATTCCAATGAAGCTATTCGGAGACCCTAGTGTTAGTGTCACCGAACCAACGTGCAAGGTATGAGAATAAAGGAACTTGACTTGTGCCGATAATATCCTTTTGAATTTGAATAAAGTTGAAGGAAAAAAGAACAAAGTGGATGAATCATTTGGTTAATATATGTGTGGGTGTTTGCCCCTTTTATGTTTTTAAGTCCTTTCATTGTTCCTTATCCATCATTCAACACATGTCTCCCTTGACACTTATTTAATGACTTTGCCTTCATTTTGAACCTCTTTGGTTCAGTCAATGACTTTATTCCTTCCAGCTACAGCTACACTAGAAAAATCAAATTTTTGTTTTCTTTGAGCCAAAATACTTTATTTGTGTTGCCTTCTTTATGCGTTTGATGGTTCACTTTTAGGCCGAGGCTAAGACGCAGTTCCCTTTTATTTCAGTAGGGAGACCTGGATTCTGGGTAATTTGAAAATGACTGCTTTGCCTTTTTTTTTTTTTTGGGGTTTCCCCAGCTTTGACCTTCTTCTTTTGCACACTGTTTTTCTACTTTCAGAACTTTGCATCGATAATATCTTCGTTTCGCTGAGTCATGACGAACGCATTCAAATTTTAAATTCAACTCACTCAAAATATCCCGGATTGTTGTCTGATTCAAAGGGGTGGTGAAACTGGTCATCAACTAAGTTCATTTATCTCAACTTGCTCAACGGTTTGATTTGGTGGGCCAAAAATATTCCATGCATTTGTATGGCCAGGAAGGGAAGCTTTAATTTTGCTGCATAAATGTGGCAGTAATACGTCATTGTTTAATGGTTGTGATAGAAGATGAAGGAAAAAAAAACATAATAATAATAATAATAATAGCTTTAACATGCTTATAGTCTAGGGGCGTGTTAGCTTTCTGTTTATAAGATGCCGGTGTGTGATCCCTTTTATAATCTATGTTTTTAATGTTTATTCTCACGTATGATTTTATTTCTATTTATTATTGTGAAAATCTTGTACTTTGAGGATATACTGGTTCTTTTTTATAAGAAATAGTTAATCAAATTACGTTGTTCAAAATATTGGGTGAAATTAGTTGAAGACAATAAATATATGAAAAATATGATATTTTTGTAAAAATACTCTTATTTATGTAGAAGAGAGATAATGTGTGAAAATTAAATGCAATGATACGATTAATAAGTAAAAAAAAGGTAAGATACAAAATCAACAAACATAATTTGAGACAACTTGTAAATGTTTCTTATAAAAATGAATAAAAGAACATGGTATAGTTCATAATTTCAATGAAATTTAAAGTTTTTTTTCTCCTAGCGAAAGTGTGAAACACATTTAAAGTAAGATATATCACTCTGGTTTTTATTATTTATCATACGTAGAAAAAAATTTGGTCTTTTTTACTTGTTACTTAAATTTTTTTAATGTTTCATTTTCAATTATACTTCTATTAATTATAGTAAATGTGAAAAGAGAAAGAATGAGTGAAAAAAATATATTAATATTTAATATTTTTTAATAAAAATAAAAGGATAAGATTTTATCTATTCAGTAATTTTTTTGAAATGTGAGAAACTTCAGCAAATAATAAACAACAAGCACCGAGGGGTAAATGAAAGCAGAGGAGGGAAAGGGGTGAGATGTTGTTGGGGACTGTGGTGAATGAATGACCAATGATATGATATGATAATCAGAGTCCCGATCCTTAACGGCACGTATTATGGGAAGCCAGGTCAAAAGCATGTGACCGCAGCCAAGTCCAAGCATGCCCTTTTCTTTTTCACTTTATTTATTTATTCATTCCTCTCGAGTTTTAGTAACTCACTGCTTCACTTGTTTGTTTCTCCTGCTTTTTAATTAAATTACTGCCAACCGTGCTGCAATTAACAGCTTAACATTACTTAGATAAACGATGAAGACAGGATAACTAAGGAAAGCAAGGTTAATTACTAATTACTACATCCGATCCTTAATATAAGACTCTATTTGACTTTTATTTTGGTCATAAATATAAAACCCCAATCCACTTTGTCTCTCATATTTATTCAATTTTTTCCAAAATAATCTTTCTAATAAACATAGCAGTGACTCAGAAACCGAAGCGTAAGAAGAGTGAGAGGCGTATGGAATTAGAGATGGCTTTGCTTGGAAGTGCAGGCAATCAGAATCAGTAGTATCTCGGAAGAGCATATTTAAATTTGATTTTAAGCTTAAAAAAGAGTGCTTAAGGCTTGATTCAAAATGGGGTTTGGCTCACTTGTGTATCGGTTGAAGACAGATTGCTTTGGGGACCCAACCACTTTGTGCCTTCCCATGTTTCCTTTGACCTCTCAGTTTGTGCTATTTTATTCAACTTCACTTTATTCCCATTTCTTTTATTTCCCCACCACCTCCATTTTTATTTATAATTATACAAAACCAATATATCATTTTTATGGGTGATTGCATTTGACATGCATTTATTTATAAACACAGTCATTCCATTGAAAATTTTACTATAAACAAAATACGTTTTAATTACTTGATGCCTTTTTATACTGTGGCATCCTCTAAAGATAAATGTTTTACAAATAATACTCTAACAAGTACAGTTTAATTATTTATTTTACAAAAAATATTGAATATTTTAATATTTATAAATTTAAATAAATTAAGTGTTACTATGAATAAGCGGAGAGATTTTGAGCAAAACAGGTGCGAGGAAGACATCAAGCTGTGGTAAAAAATTAATCATGTGGAGTTTTAAAACAAGAGAGAAGGAATTTATGAGGGGAAAAGTTTTCCACTCATGCCGGTCGGACTACTGTTATTAGTTTAAAATAGCTTATCTCGCTGAAAATCCTGTAATTATCTCGCTCAATGTCAAAATGTGTTCAGATGCCTACCAGCAGTATCAATTAAAGATATATTCGGTTAGGAAAAAGTACAAATATTCAGATGCTTGGATTCAAGGTTTGTTGAATCCTCAATATGTAATTTAAGGAAAGTCACATCAGCAATCTCATTGTTCAAACATGTATTTGTACACTTTTTAAGACAAAATGATGACAATACGTCTATTATTATCATTTATGCTTAATATAAAAGTTAATTAACTAATTTGAATAGATTAAAAAAAATTAAATTAGTTATTTGTAATAAATAGACATTATCTTTTTTAAAATATTCTTACTGATTAGTATATTAAAATATCATATTTAAGACCAAAATATCATTATTACAAAAATTACATTGAAAAAAATAAACAAATATGAAAGATAAAATTAATTGAGATCTTATATTTAAAACCAAAATAACAGTCAAATAAACTTTTATATTAAGAACTAGAGATAGTATTTAATGAGCACATTATCAGTACTGTAGCTGAGCATAGTAAAATTTAAAAAAATTGAATTTTGTTGAGAAAATATTTTAATTCTCATGTTAGGTATATTTAAAATAAAATTTTTACGATAAGAAATCAAGTTACGCGAATTAAAAATTTTTGGGCCCGCCAATATTATTAAAATGTCATTAGGAAGTAAATATCATGATTTGTCAATAATATTATTTTTAAAAAAAATTGTCAAGGGATAAGAGTGAGAATTGAAACTTGAAAGCAAAAAGCGGGCGGGGGAGGGGCAGCAGGAGTCGCGTGACTTTGGAATTGCTTCGTCGCGTAGCGCCATGTGTCCACCCCCACCAACAAACTCTTTGACTTTGCAGAGACAGAGACAGGGACGCAGAGAGAAAGAGGAGAGAGAGAGAGCGCGCCAAAAACCCAGATCGCACAGCGAAATTTGCATGTCAAAGCGGGAATTCATCAGTGCCCCCCACTATTAATTTTCAGCATTACGACCCAATTGCCTACTAGCTCCAGCTTATCCTTTCATGAATACTTTTTTAAGGAAAAAAAAAGGAAAATTTGGCAAAAAATCGCGCGTTGAAAATGCTGTTCTTGAGTTGAGAATGAACGGAAATTTTACGCACAAAAAGTAATTATATTTTTAAATTTTATACATATAAAATATTGATATTTTGATTTATACTCTTCCAGTCCTTAATATAGGACTCAATTTTTAAGTTAGTTTTGGTTCTAAATTTAAGATTCATTCTCATATTTATCAATTTTCTCTAAATTACCCCCACGGATACTCCCTCAGCCATAATGAAGTAGAAGAGGGAGATGGAGCATTAAGAAAGATGATTATAGTGTTTTAGGAAAAATATGTTATTTTTTTTTATAATTAACTAATTTATCAAACTTCCTTAATCTAATAAAATTAGTTACATAGATCTTATATTAAGGATTGAAAGATTATTTTTATCATTAGTCAAATTTCCAATGGCAACATTTTTTTCAAAAAATTCATCAAGTCAGAGGTAGTTGGGGCAGTAAAAATACTTTTCCCCGATTTTTTCAAAACTCATACGAAAATTGAGAAGAGTTTTTCGTTGAAAATTTTACTGATGAGAATAATTTGATAATTTTTTAGATATAAAAAAATGCAAATATTTTGATTTAATTCATTTTACTAGTAAAATTTTAATTTTTTCCAAAATCAACCCAAGGGAATAAAGCTCCCGCTGCGACTTCCTAAGAAAAAAGCGGGGAATTTTTTTTATTTTTGGGAGAAAGGTCAGGGTGTTGATGGGGACAAGAGGGGAGGGGGGAAAAACGAGCCCTTTTTGACTTAACAGGTGGGGATTGTATTGTATCAACGCGCTTTGTTTGCATTCGCCCCTCCTCATGGCTCCCTTTTTCTCTTCTGGGCCTTCCAAGTCAACCCATTCCCCCCCACCGGCCCATCATTTTTGTGAATTCAATCAAAACATTCCGTTAATAGTTCAAATTAAAACTAAATGATTCAGATTTAATACAATTTTACTTGACTACTTTTAATAGTTAAAAATTTTAATATATATAAAATATAAAATTAAGGTCATCTTTTAATTGCTAATTTTCTTAAAACAGGTAGTTTTTATAAAAAATTATGAATTAAAAACTTTAAATTTAAGTAGATGTATTTGGACGATACAGATCTCGTCGCAACAATAAGGATTATAGTAAAAACGAAACTAATTTACAGTATTTTGATAACCATGACAATGGTACAATGCAACTTAAAGATTTTAAATCAACTTCTATTTCTATTAAGAAAATATTATAGCTCAGTCCACATTTAAAAACAGTCCCATGATCAACATTTTAAGAAGCTGCCGCCTTTTTGGAAGACTCTCTCAATAAATAACCTATAAGTCTTTTATGATTGATTTTTTTTAAATTCAGAAGGCGTTACCCGGAAAAAATAAAATTGAGGAATCAACTCATAATTTATTTATTTATTTTTTCAAATGGCAGAATAAATGTATATATTAATTGCTATTCAACTATCGAGTTTAGACTTTCATATATTTTAGTAATTGGCTAATTGTCAAGTTATGAATCCGTCATTTTGAAGAAAAATCAACGATACCTGTGTCTGTGCCTCAACCTGCGATCATCAACTAATGACGACCGCGACAAATTACCAATGCGCGGTTGGCAAGAGTTCTACTATAAATTGTGAGACTTTTCTCTTCGTCGCCAAACTGATGAACGGTCAGATAACTTTTCGGAATTTTGTCCGCTGGAATATTTAATTTGATATATCTGTTTACCGATCCAAAAAGAAAATATTATTTTATTAAGAGGCAATCAAAAATTCCACGCCATAAATGCTGTTCAAAGAGAGATGACAATCCTACTCCGACCTCAAACCCTAAAAGTCCTCTACATGTGTTTTTGGCAGCGGCAGAATGTCAATGGCTTCATAAAACCACAATGATTTAGAAAAAAGAAAAAAAACCACTCTCAAATCCGAGCCTATCCGGCATGAAGCTTTTATATATATATATATATATATGTATGTTTGTATGTATATCGGCGGCTTAATTATATTTTAATTACCATAATTATTGTTGATCATTGTTGTCAATGCTCGCATTGCGACATCATTGACAACTTGCAAAGCGGGCTCATAGTACGTGGTTTAATTCTAGTCATATCATGGCCGCAATTTTTTTTTAAGACTTTATTACTATGTCCGGTCCTAATTATAAGAGCCAGTTGACTAATTTAAGAAGATTGAGAAAATAAGTTAAGTTAGTTATTTGTAATAAATAGATGTTGTCTTTCCTAAAATATCTTTACTAATCAAGTATACTGGTTAGAATTACCATTATTAGAAGGGTTATCTTGAAAAAAATGCATAAATATGAGAGACAAAGTGGATTGAGGTCTTATATCTAGGATCAAAATAAAAGTCAAATAATATCTTATATTAATGATCGGAGGTAGTAATTCATAAATACAAAACACAACTTACTTTAATTATACGCCGGGGGGGGGAGAAAAATATAGCACTCAGTATTCGGCAGGAGAAAATTATGAGGACAGATTAATTAATCTAATTAAGCCACCTAATGTCACACCAGTGGAAGATATTTAATTTCAAGCTTCTTCCTAGTCAACACAAATATATATACTTTTAACATACACCTTTCACATGCATGTATGTATTTGAGTAACGGCCAAGAGACTACCAATTGAAACATAATTTTTAATTATCCCACATTTGATTTTTTTTTTGGAAAAAAAATCAAACATATCAAACTGAATCGAGAGGGTCCCTTTCAGAAGGATGAGATAATGTCCGCTGAAATAAGCCGTGAGAGTAGCAATCAAAGAACAAGTAAACCCCGTGTTGAAATTTTGTTAACTGTTCTTTCTCCTGCGTTGATATCCAGGTCAGGGAAAAAAAATGAAAGTTTTTATTTGATACATGGAAGTCAATACATCATGTTTGATGTACAAACAAAACTGGATAAAATAAAAAAGGGAATGAAACGGAAATAATTTTTATTACAAAATTATATTAATATACTACAATTATTATTTATATAGTCCGGACTCCATGTAACGGAATTCTCTGCCATCTGCAACCAGGAAATTCACCGTGAAATTGCAGGCAAGCCAACAAAGCGCTCGCAACATAAGAAAACAGATTTTTTTTTTCCGGAAAAAAAAAGAAAACAGACAGTAATATAATAGAGCTTAGAGAGAGAAAGAGAGGAAGGGATCTTCTCCCTCAATCTCTGTCTACAAAGCAAGGCAGGTCAGTTTTCTCAACTCAAGAAATATTAAAAAACAATTAACGCTGAGTCTCTTATTTTTCTCCCTCTTCTTACTTTATTTGTTTTCTCTCGCTCTCCCTCCCTTCCTCCCTCTCTCTCTAAAGCTCTCTCTCTCTCACTATCTTTTTTTTTTTTTGTATTTTTGGTCCCTCTCCTTTCTTGCCTCTCCTCGGACTTAGCCGGAAAATCGTTTCGGCGATTTTCTTCCTTGCCAGATAGTGGCGCTAGTCAAATGTGATGGGAAGCGGACTTTCTAGCCTCCTTCCTTGCTGCAAACCGGCTAACCGGACCACCAGCGAACCGGATCAGCAGGAAGTGATCTTTGCCGCCACTGAGCCCTTGGACGAAACCCTAGGCCACTCCTTCTGCTACGTTAGATCTTCCGCTCGCTTTCTTTCCCCCACTCACTCGGATCGATTCGTCTCGCCTTCTAACTCCCTCCGCTTTTCTCCTCCTCATGAACCCGTATCGAGGGCCCGACCCGATTTGCCCGAAACCGTCTTCAAGGCCATTTCCGGAGCTTCCGTTAGCGCCAACAGTTCCACTCCCAAAACTGTTCTCCAGCTGGACAATATCCACGATGATGTTGCGGACTGTGCCGCTGGTGGCGGCGTGAGGGGAAACATTGTGAATGGCTTCGAGAGCACATCATCGTTCAGTGCTCTCCCGCTTCAGCCAGTCCCCCGGGGGGGTGACCCCTCAGGTCCGGTAGATAGGGGAGCCTTCTTTCTGTCTGGCCCAATTGAACGCGGCGCCCTCTCTGGCCCCCTCGAGCCCAACGCCACCACCGAAGGTGGAGGCGGCGTCCCTTTCTCGGCGCCTCTTGGTGGCATTTATGTCAAAAAGAAGCGGAAGAGGAGCATTTCGGGGTTTCGGAAGGCATTCCATGGGAACCTTTCGGAGAAGAAGCGGCCATGGGTTGTGCCAGTGTTAAATTTCGTAGGAAGAAAGGATGTTACGGCAAGCGAAGAGAAATCGGAGATAAAGAGTGAGAGTAATGTACAGTGGGCGCATGGGAAGGCGGGAGAGGATCGGGTACACGTAGTTGTTTCGGAAGAGCACGGCTGGTTGTTTGTTGGTATATACGACGGCTTCAATGGCCCTGACGCGCCGGAATTTCTGATGGGTCATCTATACCGTGCAGTGTACAATGAATTACAGGGTCTGTTTTGGGAAGCTGAAGAAGCGGAGGAAAATAATAACCCATCGACCGCCCCTGCGGAGAATGCATTACTTGGAGAACAATCTGAACCATCGATTGAAATCTCCCACGCAGACTTAAAAAATGAGGGGGGCGTATCTGTGAGTAGAGAGGACTTAAATTCTTTGCCTGCTGATGGAGAATCAGCAAAGAGAGTAACGTTTCAAGCGGACGGAACGGAAAGTAGGCGGCGTAGATTATGGGAGTTACTCGCCGAAGCTGATGCTGAAGACGGGCTTGATCTTTCTGGGTCAGATAGATTTGCATTTTCCGTTGATGATGCTCTGAGCGTAAGCAATGCGGGCTCAGCCGTTAGCAGACGATGGCTATTATTATCGAAGTTGAAACATGGATTATCAAAACATAAGGAGGGTCAAGGTAGCAAGTTGTTTCCCTGGAAACTAGGCACAGAAGATAAAGAGAAGGTTGAGTTGGAAAATCGGGCTGAAGAAAAACCATCCCGTGGCAATAGGAGGCGGAAAGTGGGTCCCGTGGATCATGATTCGGTTTTGAGAGCATTATCTCGGGCTCTTGAATTGACCGAACTTGCATACTTGGATATGACGGACAAGATTCTTGATACAAGCCCGGAGATCGCTTTAATGGGGTCATGTCTGTTAGTTGTTTTAATGAGGGATGAAGATGTTTACGTGATGAATGTGGGAGACAGCCGAGCCATTGTTGCACAGCATGAGCCCAGAGAGGCTAATTCTAGCGTGGAATTGGAGAGCAAAGGAGATAAGGGGTCAAGCACAGAGAGCATAGTTGAGGAGTCCTCAGCTCCTGGTGAAAGTGCAAACAAGTCGGGGATTGAGGATCCTGCTCAAGAAATGAGGTTGATTGCATTGCAGCTGTCCACTGACCACAGCACGAGCATTGAAGAGGTCCATTTTTTCCCCCCCTTTTAATTACAGAAGAGTTCCATTTAATTTTCAATGTTTTGGCTTTTCGGCTACTTCTTCCTCCGTCTCCCTTTCTTTTCATTAGCATATACTGTATTATTTTCCTCTTTTATGCGCACTGGTCATTAATTGTACTGACAAACACATAAGCCTTGGCAATTCAATTTTACGTACTGTGTCAGGCTCTGATTCTCCGCATGTCATTAAAGGCTTAGAGGCATGGGAGCTCAAACTTAATCTGCAATTGTGTTGTTGTGGTTGTTTTAGAAAGTGCTGGCTCTAACAGCTGATAGGACAATTTTTTTAACCGAGCAGTTCCTCTTCCTTGAAACTTGAAAGCAACTTGGCAGCTTGAGAGAATTTCTTATGCTTGACTAGAGCTATTATTTTCAATTTTTATCACAACCAGTAAACTTTCCAATTCCAAAGACAATCTGCATTTTAGGCTTCTTGTGCTATGTGATCGATGAAGCCACATTTGATATTGGTATCCTAATGTACTGTTACTGTCCAGTTTACTTCATCAGTCACAGCTATTGAATGTTATTACTCACCCGCGGGAAGAGGATGGCACAAAAGTTTTCTTTTCCCCTTTTGCAGGTTTTTCATGCTTGACGTCTTCATGAAAAATGCATAATTGATGTATGCTATAAGAATCAAAAGACTAATAATAACTTGTTGACGGCAGTTTTCTTATTTTAAGCATTTTTGGTTTCAACGACTAAATAACTTCGATAACGTTTTAGTATTAATTTGGTATATGGTATCGTGTATTTTTCCGGTTAGTCCCTCACCCCCTTACCAAACCTTAGACATATGCATGATTCACATGAATCTTCGACTAACACTTGTTCCATTTCATTTCACCATGCAACTGTGTCTTTTCAACCTTTTTACCATATTTCTTCCCGTCAGGTTCCCCTTGTTCTCCGTGAATATGATAAAGCTTGAGCGCCCACAAAACTAGTCAAACAATGCATTCGGCAGCACATAACACGGCCATTTCTTGCTAGATGCGGCTTTTCTATTAGTTTATGCCGTTGGGTTTTTCCTTCTCATCCCATTTGTGTTTTTCACATAGGTTCAAGTGTGCTTGTCCCTTTGTGTACATTTGTAATTTTCCTTGAGCAAATTGTGTTTTCCTCTCGGCTGTAACATTTTTGTTCAATCCTATTTTTCTGATTGTATAGCAGACCACTGTTTGACGTTTAGATTAGGTCATTAGTCTTCTGCTCATCTGCAGCTTTCTTTTTGATATATAAGTTATGCTTTTAGTTGCAGTTACTGTCAGTATTGGTGTTTCTTTCTTTCTTCAATCATGTTATGATTCATATCATGTCAGTTGTCTAAAACATGGGATTAATTGTTTTGCAGGAAGTCATTAGGATTAAGAATGAACATCCAGATGATAACCAATGCATTGTAAATGACAGAGTTAAAGGTCGTCTTAAGGTTACCAGAGCATTTGGGGCAGGATTTTTGAAACAGGTTCATCTAATAGACTTTGGCAGTTTTATGCTCTTTTTTTCCTCAATGTCCTTTAATCTCTTCTTAAATCCTCCCGCCTCTCTCCAAAAACAAGAGAATATGTTGATTTCTGTAGTTTTATAATTATGAAATAGTATGGTTCTCAGTTTATCATGTAAATGCAGATTCATTATTATTAGTCTTGTTCAGTTTTGCTTTGCTCTGGTACTCTCCTACACACACACACACACACACACACACACACAAAGACAGTAATAAATGATTTTGTAAGAAGCAGACGCCAATTGAAAAGATTGAGGTCAGGTTGACAAGATTTTCTGTCTTCGTATAGGTATAGGATATGAGGATAGGACAATTTTCTAGAAGCCTCTAGAATATGTATACAGTGGGGACATCTTTTAGTGCGCGTGCGTAAACCATTGAAAACCTTGACCTTGCCATGAAAACTAATCCAATATGTAATTGAAACACGTTCAGATAACTGGTATGCAAGTACAGCAATGATATCAATACTCATTCTAAATTCCGTATATTGGTAATTTTAATTTCTAATGGTGCAAATGGAAAACCAGCATACGATTCTCATGTTTCTCATTGTCTTTTTCTGTGGTTGTGATAAGAAGTGAGTTCTGTCATCGTAGAGTGCACTGAAATTTTGCTCTGGTCGTGGAAGAGAGCTGCACTGGTCATATAAATTCAATCCTGAAGTGCTTATGGCACTGCTGCATACACTTGTGCTCATGCACACTAATAGATCGTTATTCTTGCTTCCATTCCTATCTCTGGTTACTTGCTGCATTTAATATTTAATACATCTCACAAGTGTATACTTACACAATAGCATCACTTTCATGGTGCTGCAGCCAAAGTGGAATGATCCTTTACTGGAAATGTTTCGTAATGAATATATTGGCACTGCTCCATATATATCCTGCTGCCCTTCGCTACGTCATCATAGATTATGCCCAAGAGATCAGTTCCTGATCCTCTCATCTGATGGGTTATATCAATATCTAAGCAATCAAGAAGTGGTTTCTCAAGTTGAGAGCTTCATGGAAAAGTTTCCTGATGGAGATCCTGCTCAACATTTGATTGAGGAGCTTCTCCTCCGTGCAGCAAAGAAAGCTGGTAAGCAAGTCTTCTGACCTACTGTTTTTCTTTTAGCATTCATTTTATGGTGTTGAAATTACTTGGATTATGAAGTAGAGCAAGTCTTCAACCTAATGTTCTGTTTTTTGTGCCATCTATGAAGTATGAACATGTGATGTGCTCCAAAACATTGTGTCATATAAAACCCACATTTGATGAGTGTGCAAACAACTGTTGTAGGAATGGATTTACATGACTTGTTGGATATCCCACAAGGAGATAGGAGGAAATACCATGATGATGTTACTGTCATGGTGATATCACTTGAAGGCCGAATCTGGAAATCATCAGGAAAGTATCTGTGAGGCCAACCTTCAACTAGCCGGTGGCCCTATACATGTGATTATACATTTATTTTCTTCACCTGAAGGTGAATCCAACTGGCACCAAACTTTTACAGCCGATCCATTTTTCATGGGTCCTAAGGTGTTTTGCCTGGGTCTTGCAGCATGAAGGTGTAGTCACCTCATATGTTAAAGGCAATAGACTACCGTTAGAATTTCATCCAAAATTTGGGATTGGGGTTTTGAGAACGGGAAATTGCAGGTAGAATTTTAGGGATTCTCTCTAGGAGGGAAAGATAGTGAAGTCTTTTAGATCCGCTTCTTGTTTTCCTTTTGCCCTTTCGCTGTTTTCTTTCCCCCTCTTTTTTTCCCCCAGTTTATAGAGATGAAAAATGATAGAAATTTTGCGTAGCGGAGGCTCTTTCTATTCATTTTGTTTTTCTTTCTTTGTTGGAGCCAAAAGAATATGGGTGTACATTGGTGGGGTGGGGATACAAATGTACTTATATTAACTTGATCATTCCCTAGTCAGAAACGAGCTTCTGTAATTGAGGGTGGTGTTCCACCGTTGCGGATCGACATGATTCTGAATTACTGAGATCTGTGAATCAAATCATTTCGAGTTGTAGGATCAAATAGGTCCTAGCCAAATCTGAAGATAACAGTACCAAATCTTGCTTCCTTTTTTTTTTTTTGTTTCTGTTGCCATTCCTTTCCTTTTGTGTAAAGAATTACAGCGATTCTGTTTCAAGCTTTAGGAGATTCCACTAAGATTGGTACGTTTGAATTGACAGTGAAAAAAATAGCTTTTATTTCATTAGATTTTTGTAAAGGTAAGTTAAAATAAAAGTTACTCCTCTAGTCCTTAATATAAGACCCATTTAACTAATTTGATTAGATTAAGGAAGTTAGGTAAGTTAGTTAATTATAAGAAATGTGACACGTTTTTTCTAAAATACCATAATCATCTTTTTTAATATCTCATTTTTCTCTTCTACTTATGGTTGAAGGAGTATCCATAGGGGTAATTTAGAGAAAATTGATAAATATGAGAAATGGGTCTTATATTTAGGATCAAAACCAACTCACTAATTGGGTTCTATATTAAGGACTGGAGGAGTATTTAGTAAAATGTGATTTATATTTGGATTGAGTCAATTTGATAAATTAAAACTTATTTAGATAGATAATAAAATGGCAAGTTTAGATTTAAAATGAGTAAAAAGATTATGATATTGAAATGACTTGTAAACTAGTATGTAATTTAATTATACACATAAATTTAAAGTAAAGAACTTTGTTCAATTTTTTTCAAAAGACGTTGAAAAGTTTGGGCAAAACAAGGGACGTTGAAGACGAGCCGTGATTAAATTTTATCATAACCAAGATTGAAATAAGAGGGCGTTCACTCTTTGTTTCCTTGACTCTACAGCTCCTGATCCTCGCAGCCTTTTCCTAGTGGGTTTGAACCATTTTCCTTTCATTATAAATTTATAAAAAAAAGAGGATCAATTCACAGCAACAACCATCCAACCTATAAAAACCAGACACTAAATTTTCAGGAAAGCGTATATTATGCAATAAGCGCAGAGGGAAAAAAATTACAACCCTTCTCCGAATTTCTTGGATGAGGAACCAATTTGGGAAGGTGAATGTAACCCAATTTGTTTCGTCATCTAGTTAGTAACAGCACGTGACGGAACCTTTGATTTCACCCATGATACTAAATCATCTCTTGTTGCAACAAAGTAGCCCCCCTTTTCCTCACTCTGCCTGAAAGGAGCTCCCATTTTCTTCATATGAGAGGCTAACGAAATGCCTAATCCTTGTGAAAACTTGTGAATTCCCGTTCCAGTTTGTGCTAAGAGCAAGCCTGGCAGTGCCTCCTCCCTCTGAACCATTCTGGTCAGTGTACCCATCCATTCTTCCATTGCAGTTTGTGCTGCTCCTACTGACAGCGACCTCACATCTAAACACCATTCATCTGCTGTCTTGCTGTGCAAGCCTGGGTATAATCCATACATAGTTCCCAAATACAGAAGCTCATGTGCTCTCTCTTGCAGATCTTTGTTACGACATATATCAATCAAGCAGTTACAAAAGGGTCTTCTCACTTCCACAGCTGAGTCGCTCATTATACTCTTGAACTGTTCTCTCACTGTCTCAAAACTTGTCTTCCCTTCAACCATCAACTTTATGAAGGCGACCAGTTTTGGGTTAGCTTTCTGCAAACAAGCAAGCACCTTTTCCTCATCGTCGCTATTCTGAGACAAAGACACAACAGATAGTAATGAACCGCAAAGCCTGTCATCTGGCTCGATTCCTCTCTCCACTGAGGTTTCAAAAACTTTGACTAAATCATCAAACTCCATAGCCTTGCCCAAGCACTGAATCAAACAAGTGCACCCCATCACGTTGAGATCAATACCCAATTCAGATATCTCTTCAAACAATTCCATTGCCTTATCCACATTTCCTTCGCTCCCATAAATATTCAACATTGCCGTGTAACTCCAGCTATCTGGCTGGCAATGCTCGGACTGTTTCATGTCACTGAATAGCGTTTCAGCTTCTTCCACCAGTCCAACATCCGCACACATATTCAACAATGTATTGTACAGAATGAAATCCATAGGCCAGTTATTTTGCCTCATTCGTTCCCACAATTCCAGAGCATCTTTAGCCCACCTTGCCTTCCCATATATCTTGATGACAGCCGTTAAAGTCTTTTCATTTGGCGCTATCCCCGAGTCAATCATTTCTTCAAACAGGCTGCGTGCAAAGCCTGGTTTTCCAGCTTTTCCCATTGCCTCCAACAACGTATTGTACACGACCAAATTAGGCTGCACGCCTAGAGAATTCATCTCCTGCAAAACGTACCTGATACCATCGTAGTCACCAGCCTCGCCGAACATCTTTCCGAGCACAGAGAAAGTGATAGGGTCAGGCTTCCACCCTGTTCCTCTGGCTCTCTCGTACAAACTTAGGACCTCTTCAACCTTTCCTAGCCTGGCATAAACATCTAGAATAGCAGAATAAGTCACCTCGTCCGGCATCAAACCAGTTTTATACATCCTTTCGAACCAATGCACAGCCTTGTCGAACAGCTTACACTTTTTGGCACAGCTTATGATGGTGGAGTAAGTGATATTATCCATCTTAATGTCTTTCTCAATCATCTCGTGCGCAAGGTCTTCAATCAACTGAAACTGTCTCCCAAACCTCAGAGACTTCATCGTGACATTGTAGAATATGGGTTCCATGGGAAACGAATTCTGCTTCTTGACCCAATTGAAAAACAAAACGGTCTTCTGCCACGGCTTCAAACCATTGAGAACCAAGAGCGCATTTTCTTTGGTAACAGGGGTCGGGATTTCCTCAAGAACGGCCAAGAAATCGGATTCCGAGGCATCACAATCGTTAAGCTTCTGAGCAATACGCCTGAGATCTCTGATCTGGGGATTATAACTGTAAGGAGAGCGCTTGTGCCTCTGGTGGGAAAGCACAGAGCGCTTGGGCTTTGTGGGGTTGAACCAGGTGGATTTAGGCTTGGACAAGACATGGGATTCGTGCGGGGAAGAGGTAGATAAGGTGGTGTTGGCAAGGGGTCGGAGTTGCTCAGACAATGAAGGGTTTTTGGCGTCGGGTTCGTCTGAATTAGGGGGAGCTTCCGGAGTGGATTTGGAAACAGTACAGTGAATAGAGAACTTTCCATGGCTGTGTCGGAGAGAGGTGTTGCTAAACCTTGTTCGCTTGGCGTCTGAAGTATGCCCACTAAAATAGATATCCAAAGTTGTTGACAGAGGAGTAGCCATTGTAGGCACCGGAAGTGAAGATATTCCGACTTCTAATTTTTAAGACGTTGTTTGTAAGTTGTAACCTTATCTTCAATCCAGCAACTTGACCGGCCGACCAAGATATTTTTGCAGCTTGGAAAACCAAAAGTCTCGGATGGGTGGGTCAAGCTTTTCACCCCCAATCCCCAGTCCCAGTCCTAACCACTAAGCCCTCCCTCTTAAATAATTATAGACTGATTTAATTTTATACAGTTTTTTTAAAAAAATTTTAATCTTTTAATCTTAAAATCATTGTAATTTTTTATAATATTTATTTTAAAAATTAAACCTAACATGTTAATATTTAAAAATATTTTATTAACATTCAAAATCTTGATATCACTTGTAACCAAAAACAAAAATCTTAATATTATTATTTTTTATAAATAGTTTTGGAGTTAAATGACTAAAAATAAATTTTGTCAAATCAATGAACTAAACTAAATTTTGTATAAAGTTAAACAACTACAAACATACTTTCACCTAAATTATAGTAATATATATTATCGTTGGCCAAATATTGCCACCCCAAGGAAATCACCTTTAGAGCGAAAATGGCATTTCACACTTTTTTTTTTTACCAGCGAAAATGCTATTTCTCAATCTTTGATCCCCGCTGTACACTGACAATAGCACATCAATATTTATTACTCCAACCATCTTTGGTCATCATAGCGTTGCTGTATATAAGAGTCTAAAAATTTTACGACTTTTACCACCAACAAAAAGAGCAACCACTTTGAAGGTCCTACAGAGATTTTGATACCGCAGGCTCCACAATTCAGAAAGGTGCCTTCTCACCCCCAGCCCCAAGGAGGGCCTCCGATCAATGGGGCACCTAAAATCCCTCCTAAAGTCTAGAGCAAAAGTTGCCCATCTGACGCATACTACACCCCGGATCAAATCCCGCAAAAGCCAATTTTCAATTTCAATCCTCGAATTCCCTCTTCGGGGTTTTCCAGGCCCGAAACAGGATATCCCCCCAAGGCCCCAGCTTGGCCTTTCTTCCAATATCTGAGAATGAATCATTGCCGATAATTTCTTTACAAGTTGATTACGTAACCGAAAAATGAACACTAGGAAGCACCATCAATCTTCTGTTTTCAAATATAGCAGTGATATAAGACATCGAACCTGCTAGAGTACCAAAACCTCAATGCACTTCTCATCCCCAAAAGCATATCAAGCTCCTCTTGAGAGTGAAGTCTCTGGAAAACCAACAGTTTGTGGACTGTCAGATTCTACTTCTACCATGCTGCACACAAAAATTTGATGCTTAATGATAAATTGGAAGCAATGCTACTTTTTTCTTTACCTGAGGCAATGCTACTTCAGCTCTTTATCATATGAAATTTTTCATTACGAATGAAACGTAAGTTAGTTCCTGAGTCCAACCAATATGAGAAAATTAACAAGGAAAGTGCTAGGGGTTCTGAAAATGCAGGCCATACAGTTTCTGCAATCATGAGTGATTGGACCATGATGTTGATAGAGCTGGTACTTCAGTGGATTCATTCAAGTCGTGTTATTTACATATGCACTACCAACTCCCTCCACCTCACTCACATCAAGCGTACTAGCTGCTACCAGCAACCATGACAAGATTGTTATATACAATGTAATAATATTAAAATAGAATCAGTTCAGTTTCTCCATTCCTTTTCCATATAAAATATGATTTCATTCTTGTGCAAGCAGAGAGATAACATAGAAATAATGCGAGGCCCCCAAAGGAAGGGAAAAAGATGGTCACAAAAAATAATTGTTTCAATTTAAATTTCTTAACCAGATGACACTCGGGGATTAAAAAATATAGGATAATGTTTACATTCGGTATACAGCTCACCATGATGATCAATTGGGAGCTGGATCCAATAATTGCTTAATCTGCCGTTGTACACTCTCTCTAATAGAAGGATAAGGCAACTTATTTATAATCTCCCCTCCAAAGGCAAGAACTAGAATTTTCCTAGCTGTGTTTGTGTCAACACCACGAGCTTGAAAATAAAAAAGTTGGCTTTCTTCTAGGTCACTTATTGCTGCTCCATGAGAGCATTTGACATCATCGGCCACAATTTGGAGATTTGGTTTGACGTTTACAGTTGCCCGAGGTTCAAGAAGGAGGCTTCTTGTCAACTGCCCCGCATCTGTCTGCTGAGCATACCTATAAAATAATAGTTCAGCATTGAAATCAAGCAGCCTATATCTGATCAAAATTACACAGAATTTAGAAACAAGAGCATATCTGTTTGCTCAATAATTAACTTTAATTATCACCTAAAGCATAAAATACAACCCTGTTATATGCAAGGGATTTCAATCCCATATTAGAAACTTCTGGGATAGCTCTTGCAACCGGACCCAAGGACTAAAATACTGAAACTTGCATGACATTCGCATTCATTTTCATAAGAAAATACTCTGCCACTTGCAAGCGATAACAGAAGTAAATAAAACAAAATACAAAAGCTAGGTTTCCTTGAAATATAATAATTCTTAGATTCCACCAGCTACATAATTTCATAAAATTGTCATCGCAGGGCTGTAAAAACATAGTTACCTGTTAACCTTTATATTCCCATCAAATACTGCTTGCCCCTGTGAATGAGTCACGATGCACTTGTGAAGTTGACGGGAATAACCTCGTGGGTGGTCCAAGACAAGTCTACTGTGCAGATCCTGGGTTTGGTCGTCAACAGACAAGTGTAATGTAGATAATTCTGTCACTGTGTTCGGGCCCAACTGCTGGATATGAAGGTTATGCCTGCCAAGCTTTCCTCCCGAGCTTACCTCAACCAACTCATATGTACTAGATGATTCCTGAGATCAATGAACTAAAAATCGTGAGGCTTCTCTTGTCAAATTTCTTTCATATATCCACTCTAGCATAACTTGACAATGTAAAGAAATTTTAAAGAAGCACTTTATGATACTTGATTATATACCAAAAATAGATTCCTTTTCCTTTTACGGACTTAAGAAACAGTTAATTCACCTAATGCAATCAAGCCCTATAAAAAATGACTCCTATGACTCCTACGTGACTTTTCATCTTTTTTTTTTTTTACCCCAGCATTTCATATGCTACTTACAATCTCAGACTCTTTATTTGGTGGATCTGGAGCAGTTTCTAGAGAATTGATGTGAACAATTAGCACTAAAAAAGCAGAGTGTTGGATTTAAACGAGTCGTTGCAACGTAAATTTCTTGTCGTCAATTCAGGTTTCCATGTTCGTTCATGAAGCAAGCTGGCATCCTGTTTCACTTGAAAAAACATCCAACGAGTTTCTCCCAGGAAGCTTTCCCCTAATATAGACATTGCCTCATCACATATACTAACTCGAAAGTTATTAGTTTTGAAAAGAGCAGAGAATGTGGACAAATTTATAGCTCCGTTGAATTACATTAACTGTAAAAGGAATGAACAGCAGTATCATTCCTTCATAATCATATCGTCATTCATATCACATAATTGGACAACTCAATTATAAAACCATGGCATAAGATCACCTATTAGAACTAAGAGCCTAGGTAGCCCTATATGACCAGTAAATTCCTACTTCAGATGTAGGAGACTTGTTGAAACGATCAATACTAATAGATAAAGGCGAAAAACAAAAGCAATTACCTGCTGGACTGAGGTCCATTTTATATGAGCTGCACCCAATGATTGACTCTGAATATATGAATGCCTCACCTTTCCACCTTCTCTAATGACCATCTCCAAAGCAGAATTTGCCCAATAACATTGATTCGCGTTTTCGGCGGAAAATTCCTCGATTATATCAATCTCTCCTCCCTTCTCCACCAATACAAGCACTCTTGGATTTGAAACGTGCATTGCATTCGAACCTTCGTTGCTGGCCTCAAATGAAAAGTACGCCAAATGAACCGGATTTTCCACGCGGCACCCCTCCGGAACATAAACTACTGTCACATCAGGAGCCCCTATTCCATTGATAGACCAAAACAAGTCTCCATCATTCAGCCCACAAACAATTTCCGAGATCCTATCCATTATGCTCGCGGAAGTGAGTTCCGACAAACTGCCAACATAAACTCCTTCTGGCAATCCGAACAAATTGGACATTGATTTTACGATGTGGCCATCAACGATTCCAAGATACGGAAATTGAGTATTCACGGAGATGGCCGACAAGCATGAGGGGCCCGGAAGGTGAGAAACAGGGCGGATTTCTGAGTACCTGATGAATGAGAGGTCGGTGAAGCGAAAGGGCTCGTCTTTGCGAGAAGGCCAAGAGTCGAGAGCAATGATTCAGAGGATGCTTCTCTGAGCTTCTGGAGTGGTCGGGAGCTGAAGAAGAAGACGAGGCGACAGAGTCCTCGAGGGTTTCAGCAAGTTCCAGTCAAATGGGTCGGAAGTGACAGCCTGTGAAGTGAGAGAAGATTGAA